TATTTTTAAATTAATAAGTATTTGCTTAATGTACTCCTCAAACATTGAATGCAATTTATCGTCGTATTTTCTACATGGTAACTTTAGTGTAATGTATGATATTCAATAGAATAATGATATGGATCGAATAAATTATGGCCGTTATTGCGAAAAATGAATATTTTTCATCTTTGTGTAAAGTAACATATACTTACGTTTTATCGTAGAAAAGTATTTATTAATAACGGCTTGATTCGTTTCCGTGTTTATTTTAGTTTGTATAAGTGCAGATTAAAAATTTAAGAATATTTAAATTATTACACATTTTTAAATAGAGGTTATTTCAATTGAAATTATATATATTTTTAATCAATATTTCAGATGATATTTAACCTGTTTACGTAAATTAATTTTCGTTAAATTTTTTATTTTTTACAAAAAATCACAAGATCGAAAACTTTTCGATCGACTTTAGTTTTGTTTTAGCTTTAATTTCAAAATATCAATATAACGAACAGATAATAATGTAAAATGAGCAAGAAATTACATTAAATCATAAATTTGTCTATGCTGGAGATTGCCAATAAACACGTTTCTCAAATGCGATTTTATGTAACTATTAAGGCAACTTTCGACCTGAGGTCACCAGTCTGTCAAGTTGAGGATTGTATACGATAAAACGTCTAATGAGCTTAATTAACGATGCATCGAGGATGACTCGACTTGGACTGTACATAATACCTTGATAGCTTTGTCGTGTCTTTGCTCAGCGAGCAGGTTCAAGATCTTCTTTACGACTACATATGTTCACTGAAGATGCCATTTCTCCCGATCAGATTAGGTGACTGGGAAGCGGAGAGAATCGCAGCTGATATAATGGCTTATAGTGATAGAAGATGAGACGGCGGGAATAAAGAATGGGAAGTGCATCGTTGAATGAACAAAGAACATTGGTATGACATTCATAATCACTAAAGCTATTGATCAATTTTTGTGTGACAAGAGACATTTGATGTTTTTCTCTATAAATTGTAATGGAAAATAAAAAATTCCGACGTCTCAAGAAGCTAATTTAAGAACTTTCACACATATAGAGATTTATTTTAAAAAGATTTGAATTAGATTTTGTAATTATATGAAACTATAGTCTATAAAATAATATTTGATTTATGACATCATATTATGTGAGAGATCTATATTTAACAAAGTTCAAAACTTATTATTTCTCGGCTGTAAATTAAAAAAAAATTAAGTGTTTTGTGTATCAAAAATTTTCGTTCTTTTTTATAATTCTTTAATTTTTAATATACAATATTTTGTTAGTTGAAAAAAGTTGAAATATAAATAATTAAAATATTAAAGTAAGATCTATTAATCCGAATTCACTTCACTATTCATCATAATCCATTTACATATATATTTCCTTTTTTTATTTCTTTCACTTTATTTCTAATAGATTAAAAACATTTACCTTGCACTGCTTATTCTCATTTCCATTGGTCCTCCGATTCGATCGTGGTGTCCATGATTCATTACAAGTATACGCTTAACCTTGTACGTACGGTACGCACGCGAGTCTGCGGATCTGTTATTTCGCATCTCACGCATCATCCGCTCGCAGCATCCACGTTTCTCCCAGGATTATTTCCGTAATCTGATATGTTCCGAGAGCTACAAACCATCACGTGCCGACGATTTGCCATTATTGTGCGCATACCTAAAGTCCAGCCCAACGAGCAAACAGCCAGTCCGTTTCTATGCATAGCGCAGCGTAACAGAGGAAGTATTATCCGAATTGTAGTAACCGTGGATGTAATTTTAATCAGTTTTGAAAAATACGGATTGTATATAAGTTTTAAATTATTTCAAGATTGTTAGAAGTGCAAATTGGGAACACGTTGTATTTCATAAAAAAAAGTTACGGATATTTCATACCGAGTGCTCGGCCTCTTAGAAAGTTCACAGAAGCGCATTTATGTGAAATTGCAAATTGATACTTTGATAATGTTAATATAAGAAGTAATATTTCACGCGCAAGTGTACACGACTTAATAAGCATTACACGTATTAATGGCAAAAGTGCATCCCACCGCAACACTCCTGAAAAATATGACATATTGCCGCGAGAGAGTCATTCACTTGCGCTTGAATATTAACGGACGATTTGTGTCGTGCGGCAGGATTTACGATAATTCCACCGGCACCTAGAGAGGAATACCGTCGCGGCTGCGATTTATCGTCATTGTCCATATGTTCTGCCCGCGATGCACCGTTATATTTCGTACGTGCGTCGCGCGATTGCCTCTTACTCCAAACACAAGGTATACCGCAGGTGTACCTAAACGTAAATTATCGAAGAAGAACAGAGCATACTTTCGATGAGGAAAATCTGGTTTTTCAATAAAGATAAATAAAACACTGTATTTTCGAGTTAGATATCGAAGCATTTCATCTTTTGTGTTATCTTTATTTTTATGATTTATTGAACAGATGATTCGATCTGTCCAACTAAATATAGCTGTACAATATATAAATGCTTATATGTATTTCATGTATTTGATATACTTCAAATACATAGTCAACATACGCATATATTAAACATATTTTTCTATCAATATACAATAATTTTGTAAATTTTATTAGAAATATATTACTGTATCGAGAAAATATATACATATTGTATGGCGCGCGCGCAGCGGTATAAATGTATTGATTCTATACATGTAAAAAATATCTTACATACAGAAAAATGCATTATTTTCAGCAAATAATTTTATTCTACTTAGTTTCTTAATCCTCGATTTTTATCATGTCTTACATATTCGGTAAATTTTTTTTATGTTTTCATATCCGTATTAGAGTAATTAGAAAAGGAAAGTTTTTAATGTTTTGATTTTTAATTTCTACCTATCAGATCTCAGATTTCTCTTACCTTAGATTCTTTGAATTCTCGATTTATCTGAATCATCACAACTTTTTTTAAATAAAAAAATAATTTTTAAATTCCAGTATCTTTTTCCAATAAAATCTCGAATTATAATACTCGCGGGATGTTTAATGTAAGAATACACCATGATAGTTTTTACCTTTTGAAAAAATGCCTTAGCCGCTGACAAAGTTGCTCCAGAACAGATCCTTAAACGCTGCTATAAGGATATTTCCTAGAAAAGGTTGTTACAAAACTATTTGCGCTGATATGGAAGCTCGATTACTCTCCGGAGTCCAACGAGTTACTTTCAAATACAGGAGATACTTCCTACAAACGACTGCAGATTTTTCGATTGTATTTGCAATTGTCATGTTGCAACCGACAATTGGACTTGCCGTGTTGCAATCACATGTTGCAGATTCGGCAAAGGAGCTATTAACTGTTTGGTATGTAATAAAGAAACGACGTACTTTTTAAATCATTTTTAATATAAGAGTATATAAGACCATCATAAAATTACTGAATGTACGTCAATCAAAGTTAAAATAGAAATTTCGAATTTTAGTTTTTAAAATTGAAATATCTTCCATACGTCAAACAAATATATTGTAATAACGAATGTAACGTTGGTTTTCTTCTCTTTATCATTTTTCTTCTATTTTATAATTAAGCTGTCTAAATTAGACTAAAATTTGAATAGAAAAAAATATACAATATTACGGATTAAACGAGAATCAAGAATCTGCAAATTTTGAAGATTCAATTTTAAAGCAATTAAAGATTTTATATATATGGGGCATTCTTTGCCAAATCGATCAAGCCTCTGTCCAAAATTGATATGGACGGATTTCAACGTTTGACCCCGGAAAATGTTCGTCTTGAA